ACTTTTGAATTTTTGTCTATAATATTTTAACCTCCTAAAATGATAGTGAAAGAAATGTTTTGATTGGATGTCAGGGGAAACATGTATATTAGAGTTTCTTATACCCCACTAACCCCACTGCATAGAACTGTCTTATATTCTGGTAGCATAGTGGTTACAAATCTCACAGTCAGTAGTTCAAAACTACCAGCTGTTCCATGGGAGAAAGATGAGGCTTTCTCCTCCCGGAAAGATGTACAGGGTCGCTATGAGTCAGAACTGACGCCATGGCACATAACAACAACAACAACATACATAACAAGACTTGTTAAAAAGTTCAGGGTTATTTGTGCTTGGATGATAATGCGTCATGTATGTATTGAGAAACTGTTCAAGAATCTTCCAGGAGTAGTGGTTTATAAAAAATTTAACCCTAATATTACTATAGGGGAAGCACAATGGATCTATAGGATAAGCTCTGGACTTTGAACCATAAAGTCAGAGGTTTGAGCCCGCCAACCACTCTGCAGGAGAAATACGAAGCTTTCCACTCCTCTAAAAGAATCAAATCCTCAGAAACTCTATACAGGGTTGCTATGAGTTGAAACTGACTCCACAACACTTAGCAACAACAGTATTTGCTATATGAGGATTCTAAGAAGGGATGTAATTGTATCCTGATACCTAAGAAAACTTCTAGATGTCAATATAAGGGCTTATGCAATATGTTCTTGTTTTTTTTTTGTTTTTTTTTTCCCTCACAATGCTGTTTAGAATTGAAAAATACCACTTTTTATCTGAATCTCCTCTTCTTTATCAAAGATTGCAACCACAAGATAAAGAAAAGGAATGTGTTTGGTATTTTGGACTCCTGGTGTGGCACTGTAGATCAGCACTGGACTGTGAACCACAATGTCAGCAGTTCAAACTTACCAAGCTGCTCCTCAGAAGCCCTATACTGGGTTGCTATGGGTCAGAACTGACTCAACAACATTGAACAACAGCAACAACAAGGATCATTGTTGGCACTGTAAGCTAAGCAGTGGACTGATAACCACGAGGTCAGCAGTTGAAACCCACCAGCCATATCCTGGAAATCCTGGAAATTGTTGCTGTGACAACAAATTGACTCCATGGCACTTAACAACAACAAGGATCATGGTGTGGTGCTGTAGAATAAGCACTGAACTACTAACCACAACCTTGTAGTTCAAACTCACTATACCTTCCTTGGAAACCCTACTCAAGGTCCCTATAAGTTGGAAATGACACGATGGTGCTTTACTAAAACCACAACATCAACAAGGGTCATTGAGTAAGCAAACAGTTAATGTGCTCAACTTCTAACTGAAAAGTTAGAGGTTTGTTATCCAGAGGCAACTCAGACGACAGGTTTTATAATTCACTTCCAAAAAATGAGCCATTAAAAAACCAGTTCTGCTCTGACATTCAGAGGGTTGACTTGAGTAGGGATCAGCTTCACAGCAACTGGTTAAGGATCATTGATAATATAGTCAAGGTTGACAACCATTTTTGTTTTCAGGCTCATTGTATCAACTGAAGAATCCTCTTATAAAGGCTCCACACAGCAGGTAGTGTGCTTTATGGGAAGCAAATGCAAGGAGAATATGATAAACTTGGTGGAAAAGTTTGGAAATGAATAGCCCAGGGCCAAGGCCTGGAGAGTGCGGAAAGTGTTTTTTTGTTGTTGTTGTTTACTCATCTTCTTTACCAATTTAGAATGGATGGTGAGCAGTTGGAAGATGAGGCTAAAGATCTGGACAGTATGTTCAGCCCTAGACCTGGCATTATCTCTGAAACCCTTTAGACCTGTTATTTTAGCCATATGGAAGAGTGACAAGCAACACTCACCTCTACAAAGCTTTTAAAACACAGAACATGCTAAGGCCACAAGGACAAAGAAACACAGATGAAATAAATTCAGGGGAATAATGAGAGGGAGTAAATTCCCTGAAGAAGGCTGACAAGAGTAATTGGAAAGTCTTTGTGATAAAGACCCAACATGTGCTTTCTAGGAGTCCTGGTGGCACTGCCAATTAGGTAATGGGTTGACAACTGCAAGGTCATTGGTTCAAATCCCCCAGCAGCTCCCCAGAAGAAAGATGAAAGATGAGGTGGTCTGCTCTCAAAATCAGTGAGTTTGATTTGGATTTGTGTCATCTAGTAGCTCTGGTAGTGTAGTGGTTACGAATCAGGCTGTGAACCATAAGGTCAGCGGTTCGAAACTACCAGCTGCTCCGCGGGAGAAAGATAAGGCTTTCTACTCCCGTAAAGATTTACACCCTTGGAAACCCTGTTACAGGGTCGCTATGGGTCGGAACCGACTCGATGGCACTTATCAACAACAATAACAACAGTAATACCCTATTATGAAACGCCTATGTGAAACCTCTTTTGTTTTTAAATCATGATTGCAAGTCTATCTTCTTGTTCCTGGATCAAGATAATAGTCCTGGTGTGGCCCTTTAAGATAACCACAAGGCCAGTGGTTCAAACTCACCAACTCTTCCTCAGAAACCCTATACAAGGTCACTGTGAGTTGGAACCAACTTGATGGCACTTAACAACAACATGTGAAACCTCTTTTGTATTTTAAATCCTGACTTCACAGGTATCTCCTTACCTCTGGATCCAGATAACATCAGGCTGCAAGAGTAGCCACACAAATTTAGTCAAAACCATTTCTCTTCTGCTAGAGAAACATTCAGCATATCAGACTAGTGTGGAAAATATTGTGCTTGATTATCCTGAAAGTCAAAAAGTTAAGGAAAGAAAGCTTGTGGACACACCCTCAACTCCAAAATAATTAACCCACTAAGTTTCAGGGAACTTTCTTGGCCAAACTCACTCACAAACCTGCCAGAAGGCAGGCCTTGACACAAACTGAACTTGAGCACATGGCATCTGAGTAGTGTGCTCTGTTTCAGAAATGTGTAAGATAAGAGGCCCTGATTATTAAAACAGCACATTTGTTTATAAGCATAACTTGATCTGAGGCATATTGCTAGAAATTTCACCAAGCAACAATGTTTCTTTCAGGGCTAATTATCTATCTGAACTTGAAATATTTTCGGAAGTAACTGCTTTGACTAAACCCATAAAACAAATGCCTTCTCTTAGGTGACCCAAAGGTTCTGAGCCTTCCTGGATCATTTTGATTGTGTAGTTGGAAGTGAGCAGCTAGATCCATGATTAAACTTGATACATAATTTTCACTTCAATGGCATCTCTGTTATGCATGAAGACTGCATATTGTTGTTGTTAATAGGAAGGTTTTAAAGGCATTTTCTGGCTCTCTATGGATGGTCAATGTCCTCCTATACATATGTAGTGTGTAGGGTTACTGCTCAGTAACCAAGGAACTTATGCATGACGATATGTATGTACTTGGGTCAGAAATTTGTTTTAAAAAGGAAACGGTACATTGGTTATTCAAGGTGTATGGCTTTGCCTAATCTCTATCATCCAACTTTTTACAATCTTCCATGCTAACTGTCCAAATATGGAAAACTTCTGTTTAGATACCTAACCTGACTTGAGTGTCCCCACGAATTAACCATTGGGGGAAAAACACTGCCGAAGGCATCCAATTATCTTTGTATGATGAATCCTGAGATAGTGGGATAACAGCAGGAATTCTTCAAAATAAGATGTCTACAAAAAGCAAGGCAGGGAGGACAATAAGTGCTTCAAAAATTAGGCATTCTTCTAAAAACTCCCAGGAGGCCTTGTGAAAAGATGAATTTCCTAGTTATTTGGAATCCTTGATTCTAGAAACATATTGGGCCTACAGCATGGAGACATGGCTCAGTTCATTCTAATAAAAAAGAACACAGAAAGAAAATGAATTCTAAATCACAGTTTGAAAGATGAACATCTGTAATTTAACTTCCAATTACCATTTGGTATGTAATAACATTGCTTTAAAATAGTTGCGCTAGGAGCCATGAGTTGAGGTCATATCAGGATACTGATCATGGGATCATCTGTTTCCCTGCCTGTACCTGGGTTTGGGTGATTCGCAGGCTAAGGGAAAACTTACCTTGAAATAAATGTGCACACTAGTTCTCACTTTCTAGACAAAGAAATATTTTACTTTATTTAGAAAACACCAATAAATCAAAATACTTGCTACTAAGGCATGAGATATTTTTCAGTGGAAGCCCAAATTACAAAGAAGTGCTTTCCTTTTATTCTCCCATTTGTCATTAATTATACATGGTTTAATACCTGGGTAGCATATGACATTCATTTCAAAACCAGTTGCATTTTTACTGATTAAAGTACCACTCCCCAGTGCCCCAAATAGACAGACACATACCCCCTCAAATAGGTAGAAATTTATTTTCTTCCACACATCTAGAGATCACAAGCAAAATACAACATAAAGCACACATTTACTCCCACAGGAGAGAACAGAGTTCAGTTTTACAGTGGACATCAGCAAAGTCCATGGTTTAAATTATGGATTAACAAAGGGTCCATGAGCTTAAAATTAAGTTATTATGCTTAAAATGAATCACAGAGATTGTCACTCTGCTTAATGCTTTGACTGCCTAACAAAGGTTTAAATGAGGACTTTACATGCAAGTAGAGAATGTTAAGGGATCTACTCTCTTTCAGGCCTGTGTGGGCTGGAAGGGCAAATGTTTAGGCTATTAACTTAATTAAAATGAGGAGCACATTTTGCCAGAAAAAAATTAAATCATTAAAAAAAAAAAAAATCCCACAAATCCACAATTAATCCATTTTATCTGAAAAAAGAAAGAAAGAAAGAAAGAAAATGGTATGAAAAGAAATGGTGTGGAGTCCATTTAAAAGACACTCAATTCATTAATCCCAGAACCATTCTGGAACTGCCAGGCAGGAAATCTGGGGCTACTCTTAGGTTTTCTTTTCAGTGGCACCAGAACTGGGGAGAAGGATCCAGAATAAGCATTCCCATTGCCAGCAAAGTGTATTCAGATTGTGGTTTTGAGGACAAAAATGTTTTTCTTTTGTCATTTGGCTTCATGTTGGATCACCACTCCAGCGCTGAGCAGTTCCCTGATGGTGCTGTCATTGTATCTAAGGACTTCCTTCAGGACATGCACTGTGTGCTGCCCGAGCAAGGGAGGTGGCCTGGCCGCTGACATCTTGAACTTGCTGTATCTCACAGCTGGGCCTGTCAAACAAGGAAGAAGGCAGGAAGCCTGTTAATGACTAACCCTAGGAAATTAATTACCCAAGCAGCCTGGGGTGTTTTCAATGAATGCCAAGAATATCATTGCCAGTTACACCCTTACAGATGGACCCTCAGTTTGAGAAGAAACGCATTTTCACATGTGGCTTTTCTTGACTCAGGTTCATCCAACTATGCAGTGGTCATCAGACATATCCCACCTTTAGGCAAGGGATGCATGAATGTGGCTAGCGTGGCCCAGACTTGTTCAGAAGCTGTTAGTCTTCTCATAAAGACTCTCAAGGGGAAGCCATTCAAGTGAGTGTAGTCTGTGGGTCCTGGTTAGTGATGAGTACAGGTACATAGTGTCTCTTTTGGAGTTAGAAATCCAACTCTAGATGAATGAAACATGAATGTTTTCTATTCAGCAGGTACTATATGAGTCCATGGGTGGTACAAATGATTAATAGACTTGGCTGCTTGCTAAAAGTTTAGTGGTTCAAGTCCAACCAGAGAGAGACACCTTGAAAGAAAGGCCTGAGACGTTATTCCGATACTTGTAGGATTACCATGAATTGGATTCAACCCAACAACAACTGTTTACTGGTCTACTGTATAATTTCACAGTTTTCAGGTCAACTAAACATCAGCCAGAACATAATTGAAGCTTTTGGCAGTAAGCAAGAGGTTATCTGTACAAACTGCATTGTCAGGGATCTGTCATTGGATCTCAGCTCTTCTAATTTTTAGCAGAGCGATCCTTGGCAAATTGCTTACCTTCTTTAAACTCCATGTTCTACAATTGTAAACTATGTATGATCATGTTTCTCATGTAGAATTAATTGATGTGAGAATTTAAATGAGCTAATGGACAGAAAGCTTTGAGTAAACATTAAACCCCATACCACCTAGGAGATTCCAACTCAAGTAAGCATTAGCTAACCCATAATAATGAGTAAAACATGCTGGCTACTATGATTACAAAAAAGCATTGGTGTAGCTGCCCCAGCATCTCTGTTGAAGCTTGCAGTGTAAGGGTAAAAGGACATTTATTGCCTGCTATGTGCTGAGCATCGGTAACCCAAGCAATACTTTTAACAACCTGTAGAAATAGAATTTATTATGCCCACTCTGCATATAAGGCACTAAAGTATAAGCAAAAAACTAAGAGTTTGCTTAAGGCCACCTGGCTAATAATTAACAGAGCCAGGATGCAAATCATGTCCATTTGAACATCTTACATTAAAGGGTGTAAGCTTTCCATTGACATTTGTTAACCTCTTCTTACTTCTTACCCGTCTAAGGTCAAAGTTGGGCATTGATGAATACGTTACTTCAATACATTTTACTTTTGCTTCCTTATTTAGCCAATGGTGTTTATGTTGGCTGTCCAGCAAAACAAGTTAGATAGCAATAGCAATGGAAACAAACAAAGATGTAAAGTTCTATCTCATAATTGGACTCTTGGTGTGGACTTCGAACCTCAAGAACAGCAATTAAACCCACCATGATTCTCAGTGGTTTGGCTGTTAAATAACAATGTAATGTGGTAGGGATGTGATGATGTAGTCTTCTTCCATTTTGTGACCTAATGCGGTCATCCTGCAGTTTTGCACAATGCTGATTTTTGTATCAAGACCTTGTCTTTGGAATCTAACCATATTTATAAATGAGGAGAAGGTGTAATACAAAGATAATTTTAATCTAAAAATTGACTTTAGAAAGGGTTCCAATGAAAGAATACAAGCTTATGAAGTTTATGTAATGTGGCTTTTTCCCAAGGGAAATATCTGAAGCGAGAATACTGACTGGAAAAGAATCACTTGAATACCCCAAGAACCTGGTTTGTTAACCCTCCTTGTCTCTGTCCTACTAATGTTAGTAAGAAGTCTGTGGTTCTGTAGAATAAGCACTGGAAAATTTATACAGGGTCACTATGAGTCGAAACTGACTTGATGGCACTAAACAACAAAAGCATTGTATTACTTATATTAGGAAGAGCAGTAGTAGTAATATTTACCATTTCCTAATGTATTATAGTGTGCCAAGGAGCCCTAGTGTGGTGCTGTGGGTTAATGCACTGGACTACAAGATCGGTTTGAAATGCAATGTTCAACAACAAGGGTTCCTGGTTGGCACAGCTTGCTTTTGACTACTAGCCTAAAGGAGTGCTGGTGTGGTGCTGCGGGTTAATACACTGGACTGCAAGGTCAGTTTGAACTAAAAGATCGGTGGTTCAAGTCCACCAGCTGCTCCTCGGAACCAACTCAACAGCATTTAACAACAACAACAATAACTAGCCTAAAGGTTAGTGGTTTGAAATGATGCAGTGGAGCTATGGAAGAAAGGTCTGGCAATCTGCTTCAGTTAAGATGTAGCCAAGAAAACACTATTGAGGAGCTCTACCGGTAACACCATTAGTAATTGTTGTTGTTAAGAACCATGGAGTCTGTTTCGACTCCTAGTTACCCTACACAGGGTTTCCAGGGCTGTAAATCTTTACGAGAGCAGACTGCCTCATCTTTCTCCCATGGAACCACTAGTAGTTTTGAACTGCTGACCTTGAGGTTAGCAGCCTGATTCGTAACCACTATACTACCAGAGCTCCAGAACATTTAATTGTACTTCTAAGAAATCTGTACCTGGACCAAGAAGCAGTTGTTCGAACAGAGCATGGGAACACTGAATGTTTTAAAATTGGGAAAGGTGTGCGACAAGGTTGTGTTCTTTCACCATACTTATTCAACCTCTATGCTGAGCAAATAATACGAGAAGCTAGGTTCTATGAAGAAAAATGTGGCATCAGGATTGGAGGAAGACTCATTAACAACCTGCGATATACAAATGATACAACCTTGCTTGCTGAAAGTGAAAAGGACTTGAAACATTTACTGATGAAGATCAAAGAACACAGCCTTCGGTATGGATTGTATCTCAATGCCAGAAAAACAAAAATCCTCACCACTGGACCAATAAACAACATTCTTATCAATGGAGAAAAGATTGAAGTTGTCAAGGACTTCATTCTTCTTGAATCAACTATCAACACTCGTGGAAGCACCAGTCAAGAGATCAGACGACATATTGCACTGGGAAAATCTGTTGCACAGGAACTTTTTAAAGTGTTGAAGAGCAGAGATGTCAGCTTGAGGACTAAGGTGCACCTGACCCAAGCCATGGTATTTTCAATAACCTCATATGCATGCAAAAGCTGGACAGTGAATAAGGAAGACCATAGAAGAATTGATGCTTTTGAGTTATGGTGTTGGAAGAAAATATTGAAAGTGCCATGGGCTGCCAAAAGAACCAATAGATCCATTTTGGAAGAAGTGCAACCAGAGTGCTCCTTGGAGGCCAAAATGGCCAAACCTAGTCTCTCATATTTCAGACATATTGTCAGGAGGGACCAGTCGCTGGATAAAGATAACATGTTTGGTAAGGTGGAGGGTCAGAGAAGGAGAGGAAGACCCCCAGCAAGATGGATTGGCCAAGTGGCAGCATCGATGTACTTAAACGTAGCAACAGTAGTGAGGTTGGCCCAAGATTGGGCAGTGTTTTGTTCTCCTGTGCATAAGGTCGCTATGGGTCAGTACCGAATCGATGGCACCTAACAACAACAACAACAAAGTGAAGTTTGTAGGAGCACTGAGTAATATAATAAGGATGGAAATTCAGTATAAATCATAAGTAAAGGAATTAATAGGAAAATAACAATAAAATTGTTTTTTTAACAAAATTTGTAATATTTGAGTATTTTTGTTTTTAAGAAAAACATGTTGGTGACATGTTACTGGTAGGCATGTAAATTGGTACAGTCTTTCTTGAGGAATTTGTCAACTAATTATCACAAGCTTTAAAAGTATTTATATACTTGAATGGAAAAATACCACTTGTGAAATAATGAGAAATATTTTTTAAAAGTATAAGCAAGAAGAAATACAAATTTCTAAATCTGCTTAATGCTCTTAACAGCTTTTTCCATCCAATGTGGCTCCCTACTCTGCAATTTTGAATATTCTTTAAGTCTGATTTTTTACGTGTTTTGACTTGAATTGTCTATCTGTTCATTGCTTCTAAAGGTAATCTCAGTTACTAATTGTTTAGTTCCTTATTTTTTATTGTACTATTTTCCATGGGTCTGCCCTTAAACTTTCCTTCCCATATAAAGAAGCCAAATTATTGTTGTTGTTGTTCAGTACATTAAAGTTGGCACCAATTATGAAAATGATAATGAAAACAACTTGAAAAACAAAACAAAACAAAAAACCTGGGCAATGGCTAAATAAAATGTACCTATATGATGACAAGTTATAGTAATTTCAAATAGTAAGTTTTGACGTTGAAGATATATATTGCCTTCACTGTCTCCTAAAATCTCACTGAAATTAAAGAAGTTTGAAAAAAAAAACACAAAAAACACCCCAAAACAACAGAAAACTTATTATTAATTAAAAGAATGGAATGGAGTATTACTCCATTTGGACATAACATTTCAACAAAGTTAAGAATAATGTGGATGGGATCAAGTTGATGGGTAAAAGAAGTAGAGAAGTTGGATCCAGATTAATGCAAATCAGTTTCCAAGAAGATTGGAACAAGGTTGATCCCAATTGATCCATTTTCTCCCTCAGGAACCTCTGGGCTTCAAATAATAGTTATGAGAGATATACAACTGGGAATAGAAGTTAGACTCAAAGCAGTAATATTGAATATCTAAAATGCAGAATAACTAAGCCAGTTTGGTCCCCCATAACCTTTTAGTGGCCTTCATCAAAATAGAGTTCAAGTAGCCCGTGCATGACAAAACACCAACTGAATTTAAAAAAAAAAAGAAATTCAAGTTGCTCAAGGGAAGTTAAACTTTTAGTGTGGGTGTGGGTGCCCAGTGCACACACATCAGGGTACATGCATTCCTGCATTCAATGACAGAATTTGTTTTGGAGGCCCCTGCTTAAGCTACAGTCACTCCTCCTAAAGTGAGGCCTGTCTACCTTGATTACTCT